GCAGTGTCGGATATGCACCTTATCTGTTGCCATTTTCGACTGTACTGAACTGAATATTTTTGAAGGTTATGTTGGGCCTTTCGCCAAACTATATGTTCTTTTTAATAGCTATATGTCAACATTGCATAATCACAAAAGAGCGGGAAAATCTATTCAATTTAAAATTGATTTCATAACTGCTTAAAATAATTTGTATTATTCATTTGTACACCTAATAGAGCGGGTCATCGTTCGATACAAAACGTACAAAATTCAGAATCGGCAAAACTATAACGCGTTTTCCTCGGTCAAATCAAATTCCATTATATCGACATATTGAGAGACTCAATGAAATGACGTACCGTCATGTTGACTTGGCTTTTTCTCCCGACAAAAATGGATCTACCTCACGTAATGACGATTGCGTCTTACGAATCAATACCGATGGAAAAACGTCGTTTACACGTGTCGTTTATACGTTGTATATGTATGAACTTTGCTTATTTCATTTATGCAATATTTACGATCATGTGAATTGGATTATTTTCCGATTTGCATGACGGTGTTCGAAGCCGGCCTCGAAGGAACAAATGAATATGTGCGTTTCTTACTGGCGATGGATACGAGCGATCGCTTCGTCCGCGTTGCGCTCGACATACGCTTGGCAAACGTTCGAGATAATAAAGAGCAATAACATGGTGAAAAAATCGGCTAGTAAAGAATTTGGAAGAGGAAGTCTCGTCGTCGCGATCGTTGCTCCACGCTGCTCGGCGACAAAAGTCAAACGCGGCATGTCGTTCGCGCGATCGCTACGCATCGAGGATGACTGTCGATAATAACTCTGCGGTTGAGCATTTCATTATATCATGTATGATATGCAGGGTGATCCGGAATAATTTCTTGTCCTTGATACGTCATATTCTTGAACAAATTCTAAGACTATTTTTCCTCTTGCAAAATGTTATCCGATGTTCTATTACTGAGTTATTAAGATAAATAGTTCGTCCATTACGGGTCGGGTACAGAAGACAAGCAGGAACAATTGATGTTGGACGTTTGATGCGACTATATGCTGATCGATGCATACAAGGTGTCTTAAAAATACCGGAATCCCCGGATAACTTTGCAGGATCAAATTTTCATGAAAAACTTTAAGCACAAAAGTTGTGGAAAATCAGGTAACGGACTTGATGATGACCTTAAATTTGACCTTGAATTTGACCTAGGCCATGACCTTCAAGGTCATTTCGAGGTCTCAACTTGCATTTTTTAAATGGGAACCCTTATTTTTTATTACACTGTTTTTCTCTACCAATTAATTTGAGCAAACTTTTGTCTAAACATTTTTTTATTTGCCTAATATTTTTTAGGTATTTGAGGAAAACTTGATAACTTTTTCAGTATTTAACTTACGATATCTCGCTAACTATTTGTCGGAAGAAAAAGTGGTACTAGACTTTCTTGCTTTATTTAGTTTCAAGAATATATATGATCAAGAATATATGTTACAATAGCGCCCTGACTTTTGTTAACTTATTGACTTTTGGAAATTTCAAAATCATCAAATTAACAAAACTCAGAGCACTATTGTAACAATATGTTCTTGAGACTAAATAAAGCAAGAAAGTCTAGTACTACTTTTTCTTCCGACAAATAGTTAGCGAGATATTGTAAGTTAAATACTGAAAAAGTTATCAAGTTTTCCTCAAATATCTAAAAAAATATTAGGCAAATAAAAAAATGTTTTAGACAAAAAATTAATTGGTAGAAAAAAACAGTGTAATAAAAAATAAGGGTTTCCATTTAAAAAATGCAAGTAGACCTCGAAATGACCTTGAGGTCATGGCCAAGGTCAAATTCAAGGTCATCATCAAGTCCGTTACTCGATTTTTTACAACTTTTGTATTTAAAGTTTTTCATGAAAACTTGACCCTGCAAAGTTATCCGGGGGTTCTGGTATTTTTAAAACACCTCGTATATTAAGTGTATAAATGAATAATCAAAACTTTTATAAGTGTCTAAAAAATTAAGTTTCAAATGATCAAATTTTCTCGCTGTTTTACGTTTATATAGTGTTGACATATAGCTATTAAAAATTACATTTAGTATGGCGGAAGCCAACAAAAATCGACAAATGGCAGTGTGTCTTTCTTTTCTCAACAAACAGCGTAGAAAGTCTTTTTTGTGGAAAATTGTTACTGGCAATGAGAAGTGGATACTGTATGATAATCCGAAACGTAGAGTCATGGGTAAATCTTGCGAACTATCAACATTGGTCGCAAAGCCAAATCACTTCAGAAAGAAATTTCTGCACTGTATTTGGTGGGATATGAAGGGCGTGATTTATTATGAGCTATTAAAACTGAATGAAACAATGATTGCGGACTGCTACCAATACCAATTAATTTGTTTGAGTTAAAAATTAGAACGAAAATATAGTGGCAAAGGAGAACGTCCTGTGAAATTGTTGCATGATAACGGTAGGCCATACATTGCTTCTGCAAAAGACATTATAATGAGTCTTGGTTGGGATGTCTTGCAGCACTCGACGTATTCACCAGACATCACTCCTGCCAATTACCACTTGTTCCAATTGATGCAACATGCCTTGTCCGATACGCACTTCAAATCAGTGGATGAGATTCGAAAATGGCTTGACGACTTTATCGTATCCAAATACACAACATTTTTCCGACATGAAATTCATTAGCTGCTTGAAAGATGACTTAAAGTTATATAAAACAACAACAAATACTTTGATTTGCTTTTCTTTAAAATAAACAAATTTGTTTTACTTTCCTTTAAAATAAACCTTGAATTTAGTTGAAAAGTTTGGATTATTCATTTGTACACCTGATAACATGTATACACATTATTTTAAAAAATTAAAAATTTTAATAATCGCGGGTGTGTTAGAAAATGTAATATTATAATTATATTATAATTATATTTATTATATTATAATTATAAATCAATAGGATACAATATTATAACGTAACGTTTGAGAGTAAAATATTCGATATTATGCGAGTGAGACTGGTTGGTGAAATACGCAAACGAGACCGATTGGAAAATTGTAAGATAGGCTATGACTTATCGTAAGACGCCAACAAACGTCGCGTTTTTAACCTCCGTTCTCTTTAATCTGCCGCGAGAAGAAAGGAATAGTGCGATCAAGTGGTGCATAAAATTAAAATTAAAACGTTAATCTTGCGGGAACGAAGGTGCGATGATAAGTGATAAAAACTGTTAATCTCAAGATAAGCAATCTTTACGAAAGAATACAAATTCGCAGAATCACTTAGAAGTAGGAATATTTTATGCTTTCTAAACGTAATTAACACTCCATTTTTCTCGTTCGTATTTTAATAATTTATTTTGCAGTTGAAAAAAACTCGCATAATATCGAATATTTTACTCTCAAACGTTACGTTGCAATATTATATCCTATGAATTTATAATACTTGTAATTTATATTTGATATTACAGCCGCGACTATTAAAACTTTTAATTTTTAAAAATAACGTGTATCGCACCAAGCGCCCAACGTCGATTGTTCCATCTTTGCCTGTCTTTTATACCCGGCCCGTAATGGACAAACTATTTATCTTAATAACTCAGTAACTAAGCAACGGATAACATTTTGCGAGAGGAAAAATAGTCTTAGAATTTGTTCAAGAACATATTATATTAAAGACAAGAAATTTCGGATCACCCTATACATATATATCGCACATATCAAACATCTCATTGGTTTCCTTCAAGCGATCGCCGCGACGGTAATTGGCGATTAGCGCTCGCCGCGTGATTCGCACGCGGCTGCTACCCGGTTATGCTCGCAGCGATCGTTCGCTTTCGCAAACATCTTAAACGCATCTTTCGCAAACATCTTAATTAACTGATTAAATCCTAATCCGCGTCCATCGTCACAATTGCGACGACGAGATGCCAGCACGACGGTGCTGGACTATTCACACTCAAATTGTATTATCATCGAGATTTTCTATTCTGCGTGTGACTAGATTGCAATCGATCGGGGTCTCTCGAATACCTCCGCGACTCGGCGCCCAATGCGATTCTCGCCGAGCGGAGCCGCGACAAAAAAGCAGTACCAAACGAAACGCGCGACGTCGCGCGTTGGTGCTCGGGTGATTAGGCTACGATTTTGCGATCGTACGTGTTCGCATTTGTTCTAGAAGGCCGGCAAGTCCTCTCTCGATCGTTCTCCTCCTCTTCGTCCGTGGCGATCACGGTTGCGATCGAGACGGTCGACGAGTTCGTTTACGTCGACGTGTGGTACCTGGCATTTCTCTCGCGCGAGCGCCACTTACTGTTGGAAGAGCAAACAGAGAAGCGGCGGACGAGTAAAGTCGCCCCATGCGGGGGTGGTTTACGCCTGGATATTCTGGTCGTCTCTGAACAGCGACTTGCGCGACTTTCACGGGACGTCCTCGGATAATACTGTGGCTGGGGAAACGCGAAATTAATTACACATAATATTTGTACAACACGTGCGCGGATAGAGAGAGAGAGAGAGAGAGGGAGAGAGCGACAAGGAAGGATGCATCTCGCGGTCGTAGGAACTGAAAATCTGACGACGTGCTGCGCGACGGCAACGCGTTGGACTGACCAGCAGTCATGATGATGTCAAGCGACGTGTTAACGACATATCGTGAACGTCATTATTGTACGTCATTAAGGTATCATTCGACTTCTCCCTTGGATAGACCGGAATTAAAGGCCGGAAAGTCAATCGAGGGAGATCGTTTGCTCCCTGTGGAAGTTATAATTTCTGTACAACGAATTCTCTCTCCTTCTCTCTCCTTCTCTCCCTCTTTCTCTCTCTCTCTCTCTCTCTCTCTCTCTCTCCCTCTCTCTCTTTTTCTCTCACTTTGGAAATGTACACAATTAGGTCGGTCTTAATGGCCGCAGTCGCGTGGCTCGATTGGTTTAACGTAACGATAATAAGTTTGTTCCCGCGTCAACGATGCAGCATAACAATACCGTTGCGATTTGCATCGTTAAGCGGAAAGCATGCACCGGCTGGGAGAGTGCGAGAAAGTCTCCCGGGGTGCCGTCGATCCTCGTGAGACCTGCGGTCGACCGCGCGAATGCCTTTGCGCGGTTATCGTCGCGCTAATTTCCAAGTGCCGATGCCGACGAGACGAACGTCTCCGCGACGTCGGGAATTTGAGACTGCGGCGCAATTACGAGCGGAATTGGTGGTAACTTTGCGACTACGAGTGAGAGTAGAGACGAAGTCGCTTGACTAACGCGAGTAGCACACACGACGATTGAACTACAATTAGCAGATTACAATCCTCCTGTTTCACGTGATTACGACACGTACAGTATAACGACACATCGCGCGCTCAAGTTTTCGAATTCACAGCCAATTTGCGAACGAATGTCGACTCTGTCGGAGGTGATTCTCTCTTTTGCCTGTCTCTTTTGTTCTCTCTTTTTTTTTTTGTTTCTGCGCAAAATTCGCCAGATTTGGAAACCGATCGATTCTACGAGCGTGTGACGGCTCTCTCGTTTGTTTCTTTGGTGGAGCACATTGCTCGCGTCATCGTGCTTATCAAGGGCACGATCAGCCACTTAACATCGACTTAAAGCGCACGCCGGCAAACGATTATGAGGCCAAAATCAACGGAGCATCCTCGCGTCGGAGATGGCGTTTGATTGAAAAAGAAAAGAAATTCCGACCGACTCATTTCCAATGATAACTCGGTCCGATCGTTAAACGCACTTTTGACGCGTCGCTAACGCCGGGTGCTGCGACAAAACGGCCGCAACATCTGTGAAGAAACGTTTCCCAAAGTGGTGCAAAGTGCGCTTCCTGAAATCGTCCGGAGACCGTCCCGCGGGACGCTCATGTCTCGCAACTAGTCGAATTAAATCGTTCCTCGACGGCGATGCCGAGAGAATTTAACACGTGGCTCGCTTCCGGCCGACTTAAACGCGCGGTGGTAGTTTCTCTCTATCTCTCCCTCTCTCTCTCTCCCTCTCTCTCTCTCTCTCTCTCTCTCTCTTTCTCTCTCTCTCTCTCTGTCGAGTCGAAATGTTCGCAAAACTCGCGATCAAAGAGACGCCGCAACTACACAACTTCGGCCTTGACCAAGGAAGTACATTAAGAGATTTACGGGACCGACCGCCCCGAGCTCTCCGTCGTCGTCGTTGGCTTCCTCCGAGTTATATTCAGTCGAGTATCCTGCCAGGATATCCGTAAGGAGCGGGTGAGCAAGCGAACCTCTCTTCCCGCAACGGCCGGCCGATGCTTTCGCCATTCGGTCGGAAGCTCCTCTTCCGCTTCCTCCGCAGGGCACGATTTTATTGATCCTCACGCAACGCGCTTCCTCTCGTGCAACGGCGCTTACGCGAAACTTGCTTAAAAATCTAGCTTTGGCAATACGCGACGTATATGTATGTTGTATGTGTGTGTGTGTGTGTGTGTGTGTGTGTGTTCGCGGGATCAAATCCGGGGTGAGTGAGCGCGTGAGAAAGTCGGTAGAATCTCTCCTTTCGTCGCCTTCGTTCTCGTCTATTTGGCAAAAAAGTGGCGGAGGATGTCTCGGCGGGACAGAGAATCGTGTTACACGTTAACGAATATGTTTGGTTCATTGGTGCGCGCGCAGCACGTGTGTGTGTGTGTGTGTGTGTGTGTATGTGTGTGTATACATGTACGTATGCATGTGTCGCTCTATGTAGATGCGTGTTTTTCTTCTTGTACTCGTACATGCTCTTAAAATCTAAACACAGTCTCGTCTCAGAGACTGCTTCCGAACTCGCTCGATCTTCGTCGGTCGATGTGCTTCATGTACGTCTCGGAGTATATGCTCTTAGTTCGATCGTCGTATCTGAAAGCAAAATCCAAGCAAACCGGAAGTTACTCTCTGCACATAGTCGGCGCAAACAGATCCGTCTTTCGGCACGTCGAGACGCTCCGTTGCGCGTCAGCGGGGAAACTTACGACGCTTCTTTCGGCGTCCAGTCGCGCTTGATATGCGCGTGCATTTCTTTGAGGCACCCTTTGAAGCACGTGTTTTTTAGAAAACTCGAATCACATGAAAATTTATATACGGGGGTTTCTGGGCTCGCGGATGACGAATCCGTTATCAGATTTTCGAAATTCAAGATGGCGGACGCAAAAATGAAAAATCGCAATAATTTCGGTGACAATGGATATTGTGGGGTTTTTGGAGTCGCTGATTACGAACCCGTTATCAGATTTTCGAAATGCAAGATGGCGGATTCAAAATGGCGACCACAAATATGAAAAATCGCGATAATCTGGAATCCGCCATCTTGGAAAATGAATTTTAAAACGTGGACCTCAGATTCGTAATCAGCGACCTCAAAAACTAACCAGAGTACAATTTTAGCTAATTTAATAAAACTTCTATGATCCACCATCTTGAACCCGCCATCTTAGAAAATTAATTTTGGGATTTGGACCTCAGATTCGTAATCAGCGACCCAAAAAAATCTTGATTTTGAGCAAAACATTCATTCAGTTCGTGGAAAATTATTTTTTTTGTATTGTGTATAAAAATTTGTATTTTTCACATTTTGTTTATTTATAATAAATGGACAACTTACGCAAAAGAATTTTTAACCTTCCATGTATGTTCCCATATCATATAAGAAACTAAAAAACGCAAAACACCCGACAAGAATCCCTCAAATATGAAATATTTCATGAAAATGTGAGAATAAATAGGTGGTAAGTATATTTACCACTATGCCTCAAAGGGTTAAACAGCGAACGCTGAAACGTAAGTTTTCTCGTTGATGCGCGCCGCTCTGCATATTTTGCGCGTTTAATTAGGAAATTGTACGAACTTAAAGTGAAGTTCGATTTTAATTATGCTTTCTCGTCCGGATGGATATGTGTAGTCGCGCTCCGTCGCGCTTCCCCAACAGAATATTTAAAACAAAAAATAAACGCGTCTTGTCGACCAACATGCGCACATCTCGTTGCCTTGACGACTCCGTCAACAACGCCGCTGCTCGCGCCAGCGCCATTATTATTTAAACATTGCCAAATCTGATGAAGGGAACGGGAGGATGGGAGTGTCCATCCGGATGAAAAAGCATAATTAAAATCGAACTTCACTTTAAGTTCGTTCAATTTCCTAATTATGCAAGTTCTCGTCCGGATGGATATATGTAGATGAATATATGGGGATTTGGCAGAAGAACACAGTAAAGATAGAAAAGAAGACTGTGCTGGGACCGTTAGCAGACAAATTATGTAGAAAAAAGTGAGAGTTATGCACTTGAAACTTTACGTAGTAAGAATAGTGGACTGGAAAAGAGAATCCGAAACACTCGGTCTATTATAAAAACGAGCAAAAACATCGGAGGATTTACTCCAACCGGCCGTACGACGAATCTCATCTATATTAATGCCTCTGCTGACAGCAAGCGAAGTAGAGGCATGGCGAGTAGAATGCGCCGAAAAAATTGAAACGTCTATACCTGACGCTTCTAGTACGGACTTAACCCACCGACCTAATGTCTGAGAAGAGACCGAGGAATAAGGTTTATAATATTAAATAAAAAACGCGTCACCATTAAGGCGACGAAGGTAAGCTCTAGATAAAGATGTATAAGAGAAAAAGGACAGAGTTCCGGCTTCTCTAAGAAAGGTTTAAAAACGAGCATGGGCTAAGCGCGTCCAATCCCTGAATTTTTAAGACGCGCAGGGATGCGAATGATTACAGAATCCGCGATAACAATATTTGAACGCCGAATGGCGGTGAAAGTCTACATGCGTTGAGCGGTTGTAAGGGCGAGAAGAGTAACTAATTTCTTAGAAATAAGTTCAAGAGATAAAGTCGAATATGGACCTAGCTGGGTAAACAATACCGCGAGATGGATCCCAAATAAAATCATAATGTGGACGCGGGGATTTTAAAACGGCCACACCCTTGAAAAAACGCTTAATTAAGGGATGGGATCCAATATCGGCGGAAGAAATGTTTAACGATGAGTAGGATCCTGTATTGTATGTGCGAGACACGAAGCCAAGAAATCCAAAACGGAAGCAGTAGACGGAGAAAAACTATCCTCACGGTTTTGTTGACAAAATTGCCACCAGAGCTTCAGTGGTCTAGAGTATTGGGAAAAGGTGGAAGGTGTAAGCAATGCGAGCATGGCGTTGACTGCTGAAACCAGTGTCCCCTTCTCCAGGAGTGCTTGGCGGATAACCTCGCGACCGCCAGGGAAAGGTGAGACCATGCTGGATGCAACTCGCTGAAAGGAGAGGATAGCATGGTAATATTAGGACTAAAATGAAGAGGCTGACCGACAAGAAGCTGGTTAAATAAAGGAAACCAGGGTTGCATCGGCCACCAAGGAATCATCAATACTCCCTCCGCCTCGTCACAGATAATTTTGCGAAGGACACGCAAAATCAAAATAAATGGTGGGAAAGCGTAGAAATAAAATTTACTCCAATCTAAAAAGGGCCAAATCCCGATTCGATACGATGAAAATAGTCGCGTGAGAGAGACCACTCAGTTTCGGTAGAAACGATACGGGATTGAACATCCGCCTCTACGTTCTGCGTCGAAGGAACGTACGCGACGTAGAGAAATAAATCGCGATCCGTACACCAAGACTAAATCTGACGAACCAGGGCAGACAGATATGGAAATGAAATCGAGCCCATGCGATTGATGTAAGATAGAGCGGTAGAATTGTCGATACGTAAGAGAAGATCGCAACTGCGCAAATGAGAGGCGAAACAACGCAAACCGTGGAAAATAACCAAAAGTTCAAGATAATTAATGTAGTTTTGTTTATCTGTCGGAGACCAAAAACCATGTGTTCGAACGCCCTCGCAGAATGCGCCCCAGCCCGTCAAGAAGGCGTCCGTAAATATTTCCAAGGCAAAACGTCCCGAACTAATAAAATTACGTTGGGAAAAATTTGTGAAAACAGTTTTTCACCACAGAAGATCCTTTCGAATATAATCTGGGAGCTTCATTTGCGCCTCAAAATTATCATGTGACACCGAGAGCGCTAAAATTTTGCTCGCTCTTAAAGTTTGGTGTGAAGCATGCCGTACTTTATCGCAAGGCAGATAGATATCAAGGACTCAATAAAACTAGCAAAAAATCGGATCGTGCAAGAACTCGTGCGCAACATTGCGATGGTCCATTGTAGGAGTTTTTCACGTTTATCCCGTGGAATTGAGAGAGAAAAACTCTGCGTATCAAACACAAATCCCAGAAAGCGGCAAGTTTGTGTTGGTATTAAAACACTCTTACGCTTGTTAATGACAAAGCCAAACGATGACAAGAGACGCAGAGTTACGGTCACATTTGTTGTACACTGCTGATAAGAACGTCCTACGAGGAGAAAATCGTCCAGGTACACTACGGAGAAAAGACCTTGCTCGCGAAGAGAGGGCACCACGGGTTTCGTAATCCGTGTGAAGAGGTAAGGAGCCGAGGCAAGTCCAAAAGGTAAAGCCATAAATTGGAAGAGTTTATCCTGAAAACGAAAGCGTAAGTATTTTCGATCCTCAGGATGGATAGGTATGAGCAGATATGCATCCACCAAGTCAACAGAAGCGAGAAAGTCGTCTAGCGAGAGAAGGCGAACAGTCATCTTCCAATCCTCAAGTTTAAAATGAGATGCAAAAATTAACTCACTCAAGCGCTTTAAATTAAGAATAAATCGGCAGCCTTCTGATGACTTTTCTATTACAAAGGAGGATAAAAATTGACCTGAACAGTCAGACTGATTCGATTGCACCGTTTAGACAGAGGCGAGCAATTTCCTGGCAAACCTCTTGTTCTTTCCTGGACAAGCGTACCACGGGCTCTCTATCCTGACAAGGTGGCTAGTGGATGAAAGGTAGTCGATACCCGGAGGATGCTTGTAAGATCTTCGGGTCAGAGGTAATATCATGCCACCTGGAGAGAAAAATTGTCAGCCTACCGGCTATAGGTACCTGACTATCCGCTAACGAAGTTTCCCGACTTGGAGATAGAAGCCGAGCGTAGTGGCTGCTTCATGGGCTGTTGTACTCGGTTAGCGAGGACTAGTGGCGTGCGGACGAAGATCTTGCTCAAACGCCCCAAGGAAGAAGCTTTCTTCGGTTCCTCGCCAAAAGCCGTACCGAAACGGAGATCATCTGGACGGAGAGAGTCCGCTGTTCTTGGCGAGCAGATTAAGAGTAGGTAAAATTTGGGCACGCCGGGACAGCGAAAGATGATAAAAAGCATCGGCTAAGATCTTTGCTCCCTCCGTGATCTTCAGTACTGCAGCGCGTGCAGCAGAGACCAGCGAACCTTGCAACTCAGGTTGGAGTAGGTCCGAAATTGCTGCTCCAAGAGCATACAAGGTCATACCAACCTGATTCTGGTCTCTGCTGGAATATTCTTCTCTCTTGATAAAGGAATTGCTCCGCAATCCTGATCGAAGCTCCGGATTCAGCTTCGGAGCAGAGAGAAAACTGAAGGGTTCCGAGGGGGAATATTTTTTGAGCAGGAAGTCACGCTGCTCAGCGGGGAGGCCCTAACGTATAAGGTCGCGCCAGTCAAGAACATGAGTCATTCCATTGCAGCACCTCCACTTTATTAAGCTCGGCAGCGAACAACTCTCTAGTGAGAGCATCGTCGGACAGAAAAAACAAGCGACTGAGAGATATCGGAAGGCATAACCTCCGGGATAAGAGGAAGGGCAAAGGTAACATTATCTCTCTCTGGCGAATCTGCACACCGACGGAGTTATTTGACGGCTGCAAAAGGTTGTGTCGATTTTTCCGCCTATATTCTCCAAATATAGGTCCAGAAAGCACGTACACACCTGAGTGTCTCACTGGACTGGCCATTCCTGACTTGCAGGCGCTGCCACGCAAGAGACATCAGGGACAGGATCTACCAGGATGGACTCAGTCTCCGGCACCAAAAAATTATCCGACCGTGGTTCAGCGGGAAATTCTGCAGACGTCGGACGACTCGGCGATGAGGACAGAGGCGACGGAACAGGGGAACGCCGGGACGTCTTGTCCTCTTTGCGCTCTAGTCGATTAGGCGTCGATTAGGCGTCGATTAGGCGCGCTAGCTTGTCCTCAAGACCCACTAAACGATCCCGGGAAGGAGAACTCTTACACTTCTTAGATTTATGAGAAGATTCACCCACATTCAAAAAGACGAACTACACGACACTACTCGAAACGGTCCAGAGCCTGTTGTGGGAAGGAGCAACAGAAACACAATGGCGGCGCTGGCGCGAGCAGCGGCGTTGTTGACGGAGTCGTCAAGGCAACGAGATGTGCGCGTGTTGGTCGACAAGACGCCTTTATTCTTTGTTTTAAATATTCTGTTGGGGAAGCGCGACGGAGCGCGACTGCATATATCCATCCGGACGAGAACTTGCATAAACTCTTAATCTCTTCAGGGATGAATTAATTCAAGTCCGACGAAAATTATTTATTTTCAAGTGACATGAATATGAGACTTGTCAATTATGTAACGAGATTGCTTTGCTCTTGCTGACATTTGCTGATAAATTCATAATAATGCCCGTATTTTATTAACGATGTTTACATTAGAAGGAAAAAGAGATTGAACGCATCTGAAACGTACGGATGATTGTCAGTATCCTTGAAGAGATGAAACTCATAAATTGGAAAGGGACAAAGACAGCTACGGAAGCTTCAATTTCTCAGTTTTCATCGAGCGCGGAAAGTAAGTGAATCATTGTTATTTCTTTCTCGATCACGCAACGTGTGTTTCGTGTATGCGCGTGTGTGTGTGTGTGTGTGTATGGGAGGGAGAGAGAAGCACGCCAGCTGTCGAAACAAAAAAAACAATCGCGCAATATCCTTTGATTCCCGCATAGCTCTCAGTTCAATTGTCGTCGCGCATCATCGCGGATGCAGTTCGCGCGCGATATACGCAGTGTACGTAATTGAACAGAATAATGGAGTAATTGACGCGGGGGAATGAAAATGGAGATACATGACGCCATACATCGCGAGATTAAATTAGGTTTAATTTATGGGTTTAATGATCATTTCTCGGAATATACGGAATGAATACGAACTCGCGATAATCGCGTGCGTTCGCCATCGCTTCGTCGTTCGGTATGTAAAACGCCAGCGAGCACTCTTAACCGCTGTTGGCGGTATAATAAAATATCGTACTCGGGGCAAACGTGCCGCGTCGAATATAATAATAACGTCGCGCGCGTTGGATTGCGCGCTAACGAAGCGAACGCTGTCGCTATGCTCTCCCGGTGCTAATGTGAGTGTGTGTATGTGTGTGATATTTCGCGTAACTTATTCGGTACGAATTAAGTGCAACGCGTTCGGATTAAAAATATCAATTCGATTACAGTCTCGAACGTGTTCCTTATCGACGCCTTCTCCGCGGGCGTTTGTTCCACTCCTTTTGATTTCTCAGGAGATTTTCCACGAGACACTCGCACGATATATTCCTTTTTTTCGTTTTTTGCGAGACCAAATGCGCACTTGGAAGCGACGCAACAATTCGGGAATAAGCAGAAACACAAGTCGCGATTAGGGTGTCGTTACGCTCAATTGAAGCTTCATGCGTGTAGGTCAGCCGCAACTGCTTAGATTGAGGATTATAGGCGTGAATTTCTGATTAGCGTAATTGCAGGATAGGATGCACTAGGATGCATGTACACAGAGAGGACGATTTAGTTGAATCTAACAAATGCTTATTTAGAATAGTCGAAATAAATTTTTGATTGATCGAACAAAATTTTGTTTGACGCAACAAAAACATTTCGTTGGAACTAAGCTGCAACAAAATATTTTTGTTGCGTCAAACAAAACTTCGTTCAATCAATCAAAAAGTTTATTTGGACTATTCCAAATAAGCATTTGTTAAATTCAACTAAATCGTCCTCTCTGTGTAGGTAACGCAGGAAGGACCCTCGCGTCTCGCCGAGGAGTCCTGAGAGCGAGTCGCTCTCGACGAAATCGGCTTTGCGATTTTCATCCATTACGGATTTTCATCGTTTGAATTGAAGTGAAGTGTGCGCGACGTTTCTTGTGCAGGATGTAACATCAACATATAGGCCAGTATGACAGGTTGCCTGCCTATTCGGATGATAATGCAAAGGTTGCCGAAAAAGTCACTCGTTGATAACGATATTTGCAGTGCTCCCAGTTATTATGATGAGTACAACTAACTTTGCACTGTGATCATTATCGACCGTTTAAGATGTTTAAAGAAGTGAAACTGAGAAATAAACATTACAGATTTAAGCAGAGTAAGTAAAAGTAATAAATAAAGAGTAAAAAATAGTTAAAGAGATAAATAATACAACATATTTTCTTGTTTCACGTAATTTTCTAATTTCTTTCTTGTGTCGAAAAGTTCGATAGAAATTAAAGATTAGAAAGAACGGTGTAGAAATATTTAGAAGTCTTATATGTCATCCATATTTCTACAAAAAGATCGCTTCTGATCAACAACAACTATCAAGCTATTTTCGATAACAGAAGTATCAAGATACAAGACTATGAAGCAATCACCGAAAATATGTCGCTTGATAGTTGTCGTCGATTAAGTCGCAATCAATGTTTCTACTGCGTTTCTGGTCGATTTATATTTTTGCAGAAAGCTTCTAATTATATTTCTATGCAGTTCTTTCTAATCTCCAATTCCTATCGAACTTTTCAACGCAAGAAAGAAATTAAGAAATTATGTAAAACAAGAAAATATATTGTTGTATCGTTTATCTCCTTAACTATTACTCTTATTTACTTTTCTTCCGTAATGTGTCCGTAATGTTTATTTCTCAGTCTCACTCTTTTAAACACCTTTTTTATTTCAACGAAGCTGAACTCCTGTCATAAACGGTCGATAAACTGTCATAACCATTGGATAAAGAACATAAGGAAAGAGCATATTGCGATATTGCCCGGAGTATCGATAATCGAACTAGACATAAATACAACATATAGCTATGAAGTTACCAGAAGCAAAATACTCGTATTGGCGATATAACTCGAATAGTTGGGAGCGTAATATACAAAGAAGCGTAAAAATGTTTTCGAGATATGCTCTTGATTATGAACATTATATATTCTCAAAAAGTACGATGTAACATTATATATTAGATAATAAAATTATCTTTTATACTGGAATTTTAAGTTAATACATACAATTACTTCATTTTAGATTTAAATATATTTAACAATATGTATGATATGTTTCCGCACATCCATTTCTTTCACGATATCCTACACACACAACAGCCATTAACCATTATTTTAATGAAAAATATTTTTAGCAGTGAGTAAAACTCTGTAATATGTATATAACCTTGTTCACTTTATAGGGCAGGTTGTTCAAATTCCTTAATAAGTTAATTGATAGTTAAATCATATGTCTACCTTTGTCTAAATTGAAAGAGAAACAAAGATAAACATATGATTTAACTATCAGTTAACTTAACAAGAACAAGTTGGAATAGCCTCAGTCTGATTTCAGTCTTCTCAATTACCGTTCCTCTCTCTCTCTCTCTCTCTCTCTCTCTCTCTCTCTCTCTCTCTCTCTCTCTCTCTCTCTCTCTCTCTCTCTCTCTCTCTCCCCCTCTCTCTCTCTCTCCCTCTCTCTCTCTTTTCCCTATGGGCAGTCGATTCGACTTGCAATAATTGAATACTCGTTTTCAGTATAATAGTATGACATTACATCCGTCGCATCCTCTTCCATGTATTTTGCCGATGTGCTCCTTTCTTATATTCTTTATTCAAAGTTTATAACGATCACAGTACAAAGTCAGTTGCACTCGTCACAACTGGGAGCACTGTAAATATCATTATCAACAAAGTCGGCGAGTGACTTTTTCGGCAACCACTGTATTATGGTCAGAATAGGGGAAGGCAACCCGTCATACTACCCAATCTATATGTGAATGTTACATCCTGTACAAAAGGAAACGAGATTTTTCGCGCAATAGACACGATTTCTCGGCTGTTACAGTGTCGTTTGTCACGGAAGTAAAGAGGAGCTCTTTAGACCGAATCGCTATCGAGTCGGACGACCGTCCAGACGCGGCGATTGAATACTTTCTAGTCAAATTCAAATCGAAAGCGAGTGTCCATTCCGGAAGCGCTTGAGCGGATCCCGCTGATTCGGATATCCGTAAATCTGCTCTGTGGCGATGGACGGCGCGCTATCGATGACACGGATCGTTCAAAGTCCCGATACCGTCAAGGGCGACTTCTTATCGCGGGATGAGGCGGCAAGAGGGTAGCAAGAAAGGCAAGAAAGAAAGGAAATGGAAGGCTGCGAACGCAGCGATACGAACGTTCAGCAGAAAAGGGAGGTGTCTCAGAAGGGAAGAAAGCGATAGAATGAAGTGCATACCTCGATGTGTCAGACCAGATCGTACCTGAGGGATGGCCGACGGAAGTCCAGCGCTTCGAGGTCGGACGGCTCCCGTCTGCAGAGCGAGCAGAAGGCGCACTGCAGGGTGTTTTTGAACGCTTCCCGAAAGTCGCGGTTAAAGTACGCGTATATCAGTGGGTTCAACGCTGAATTCGTGTATCCGATCCAGAAGAGGATCGCGATCACGATGTCGGGGCACGGACAGCTCTCGCCGCACAGCGCCGTACTGACGTACCTGACACAACAGCACGGGATTGACGTTTATTCGTTTGTGCAGACGCGTCGGGAAGACGCGGAAAGAGCGAGAAAGTAATCGATCGCGACTTCGAGTTTCCGAAGCGGTGTCGGAAATACGCCAAGCGATTTGTACACAAGCGTCCACGTTTGCACCCTGACGTTTCAAATTCTCTCTCTCTCTCTCCCTCTCTCTCTCCCCCTCTTCCCCCTCCTCCTCTCTCTCTCTCTCTCTTTCTGCTCTTCTCTTTCGCACCACCTCTGTAAAAACGCACATATCGCACGACTCGAGCCTCTTGGCGAAATTCCCAATCTCGTGGCGTAAAGCGCCCGCGAAATGACTCATTAACGCGAGCTAAGAAACTCGTTAATGCAAACGATCGGACATTGACTGATACGGACCCGACGCGTTTCGGAGAGCGAACGGGTAGACCTCTGTCGCCGGCGGCGGACTATTGAAATTAATCAATCCTTATCGTCATTATAACGCGGACCCGACGAGTACTTTAGACGTTGATTAATTTTTAAACTCGAATTTCGTGAGCAGCCCGACGCACGAGAGAGCCAATTTACGCTCGGCTCCAATTTCTCCGAGCGGTTCGCGACATGGCAAGATCCTGAAAGATTCTCCGGAAGAATAGTAGTCCGACGTAGTAGGAGACGCGCGCTCTCCCGTTTCCACAGCGGCGAATTTCCCACACGAGACGCCTTTCGCGGAAATGCTTCGCATTAACGCGAGCTGAGAAGATCTGATTAGAGTGAACGATCGCGCGTCGGACTCGCGAGCTGCTCGACATGTGTGTGACGCGCGTTACCGCGCTGCAAAGAGTAAAAGGCTGCCTGGAGCGCGCGTGAGCGCGCGCCCGCGAGTACATAAAACTTAATCAATCCTTATCACGCTGCAATGCGAGCACTTGGCGACGCACGCCGCGGGTGAGCTTAGCGCTCGCTCGCCCGCTCGCACGTACGTACCAGAGAAAAAATGGCAGCCAGCAGAGGATGAAGGTACCCATGATGATACTCAACGTCCTCGCCGCCTTGTGCTCCCTCTTCATTTTCATCATGTTTTTGTCCTTGGTGGGAGTGTGCAGGTGATCGGTGTTGATCTCGTTGAGGGTGAGTGTTTTTGAGGAACCGCCGCTGTTGAGCTCGCCGTTGAGATTATTGAGATCCTTGCTCGGCCGGTGGCTGAGCAGCATGGCGTTGCCCATCCTGCTGTGCATCTGCTTCTCTTGACGATTCGCCTCGCGGAATATCGCGTAATACGTGACTGTCATGATGGTGCACGGTATCCAGAAGGATATACTCGACGACAGTATCGCGTAGATCTTGTTGACTTTGAACTCGCACAGTTCGGGGTGCTTGTGACGGTGCACGCTGTTCTCGGCGGTGGTGTCCCAGCCGTAGAAAATTGGCACGAAAGAAATGATGGCCGGCGAGAGCCAACAGGCGAGCAGCATGAACGCCACCACTCGCTTTGTCATGTTAATGGGATACTTGAGCGGCTTGACGATCGCGTAGTAACGATCCACCGAAATGCACATCAGATGGAGTATCGAGCTGGTGCTGAAGTAGACGTCCAGGGAGTTCCACACGTCGCACATAAAGTAGCCGAAGAGCCATCGCCCGGTCACCTGCACGCTCGCGTTGAACGTCATCGCGAACATCGCGACCAACATGTCCGCGAGCGCTAATGAGACGACAAAGTAGTTGGTGATGATGCGCAGCTTCCTGTGCCGCATCACCGACACCATCACCAGGAGATTGCCAAAGAGGGCCGTGGCGATGATCGAACCGAGGATGCAGCCCTTCAAGATCGCCAACGACATGACCGGCCAACTGCCAACCTCCACGGCATTAACGGCGGTGCCGTTGGCGCAGGAGTCCTCCTCGGTCGAGGTGACGTCCAGCAGCGACGGCACGTCGAACGAGGGTACCTCCGCCGGCTCGAACGTCGTCTTCGCGGTCATCCTCGACGGTCACTCCCTTGCTCCTTCCTCTTGTTCTTTCTTTCTCTCCTTCCCTTTTGTCTCTCTTTCCCACTCTCTCTCTCTTTCTCCCTCTCTCTCTCTCTCCCCCCCCCTCTCTCTCTCTCTCTCTCTCTCTCTCTCTCTCGTTCGATCGTTCACGGCACGGATCTTCCCGAGAAGGTGACTTTAGGTCACGGAGGTTCCGATCAATCGACGCACCAGGTAGACGTTCATTTTCGACTCGGGGCAGAAGACGTGGTCTTCTCTGTTGCGCTTCTTCCTCCTTTCCTCTTTTCTTCGGCTGGCCAGCCAGCGAAATTCACGGACTCTGGGAAGCCGACCCTCGCGGCAGAGAGCAAAGTGCCCCGCAAAGGAGCCGCGGCTCGTTTCCGGTTGAAGTCGTCGTTGTCGTCGTCGTCGTCGTCGTTGTCGTGCGTACAACGCTCTCGCGGATCTGAAAATAGAAAAGAGACACGTTTTTCACCGGAGATTGGCCGAGATCTACCTCGATTCGTTATCGCGCAAGCGGGTGAGTCAACGAGAAACGGAAACCCCTTTCTCTCTTTCATCAGGAGTGAAAAGCGATTGCAAATTGCGCTTAATTCGGGCGCGGGAATCGGCACGAAATTGCGCGACGTTGATAAAAATTTCATCTCGAAACACTCGCGCGGCGTCTCGTTATTTTTATAACTCCGCGTCGAGGGAGTGACGGGCGGGTACCCTCTCGAGAAATTATAGCAACGTTAATAAGTCGTCACGCCCGGCCTTCTTAGTTCTCAGTAGTAAGGTCTTTAGCGCTTGAATTGGTAATTTCATTCGCGCAAGGTAAATACGACGAGTAATTAGCGTGTATAATGGTCGTCGTTGGGTGTCTGCGAGCTCTGAATCGTTTTATTCTGTCGCAAATCCGATAACTGCTTCATACTCGGACTAATTAACTGCTGTAGGACGCACGCGATAAGTTGGGCAGAAGGAAAACAGAATACGACGAGTAATCCGGATCTGTCCTCGCGTTAGATTCCATCTCGAGCGCTTTTGCGTCGCGTGTCTAGGAAATGTCTAGGAAGTTTCCAAGGCTTTCATAAGAATTCTTTGATGATCTGTCTGATATATTCCTCCGCACGATATTTAATATTAGGAAGTTGAATTAATTCTGCTCTTATTTTGTCAACTTTTTTATCTTTATTTTAAAAAAATAGACAAGCTTACATCAATTAAAATATTTTCCGTTGTTAGCTGTGACTTTTTTCCATCTTTCTAGCAACATAACAATTCCGCGACGATAGAACCATCTGTCTTTCGAAGCAATCCAATCAGGCACCCATTTTTGCACATCTTCGTAATTATTGAAGTACGTATCTGCCAACGCGTGTTACATCGATCGGAAGATAGATGGTAATCAGATGGTGCTAGGTCTGGAAAATACGCTGGGTGCGGAAGGATTTTTTCCTATTCGAGCTCTAACAATGTTTGTTTAACGATTGAAGTAACATGTGAATGAGCATTACCGTGCAAAAGAATCACTTTGCGTCTATTGCTGGCTATCGCTGGCCTTTTTTGCATCAATTCATCATTCAATTTGTCCAATTGTTGCTGATATCCCTTCCCCGTAACTGTTTCATTCGGTTTTAGAAGCTCATAATACACCACACTTTCCACTCCCACCAAATACAGAGCATTGCTTTGTGGCCGTGAATGTCCCGTTCTGGTGTCGAAGTTGTCCTGGATCAACACACGATTTTTTTCGCTTTGGATTATCAAAATAAATCTGCTTTTCATCTCCAGTTACAATTCGCCACCAAAAATTTTTTTTCTGTCTAGCAAACAAAGACATGGTAATATTCAAACGATTTACAATGGCACTTTCACTTAATTTATGTGGAACCTATTTACTTTCCTTTTGAATATTTCCCGTGGCGTGTCGGCGTTTAAAAATTATTGATTTATCGACGTTAAGTTGTTCAGCCAATTGTTTTTCTGTTTGAACGATATTTTCATTCAATAATGCTTGCTATCTAGGGTCTTCGAATTTGTTTGGTTGATATGTAAGTTCTATGTCACTCAAATCAAAATCACCACTTTTGAATCGTTAAAGCCAAAATTTATAGTTGGGATATTAGGTGTAATACAAATGAATAATCAAAATTATTTCAAGCAGTTATGAAATCAATTTTAAATTGAATAGATTTTCCCGCTCTTTTGTGATTATGCAATGCTGACATATAGCTATTAAAAAGAACATATAGTTTGGCGAAAGGCCCAACATAACCTTCAAAAGTATTCAGTTCAGTACAGTCGAAAATGGCAACAGATAAGGTGCATATCCGACACTGCATTCTTTACGAATTCCAACAAGGAAAAAATGCTGCAAGAGCGTGCGAATCGATTTGTTCCTTTCTCGGCGAAGGTGTTGTATCGTACGATGTGTGAGCATTTTGGTTTAAGCGGTTGGTGAAAGCGGTAATTTCAGTCTAATCGACAAACAACGTCCTGGAGGCCCTCCGAAGTGCGATAATGATGATTTGGAACAACTGCTCGCTGAGAATTCGGCACAAACACAAAAAGAGCTTGCAGAACAGTTGGGAGTAACGCAGCAAACGATTTCCAAACGCCTACATGAGATGGGAAAGATCCAGAAAGATGAAATGGGAAATGGGTGCCTAACCGCGTGAACTCACTGAAACCAACAACAAAAATCAACGAGTGGCAGCGTGTCTTTCTCTTCTCAATAAGCAGCGTCGAAAGCAGCTTTTTTGTGGAAAATCGTTACGGGCGACGAGAAATGGATACTCTATGACATTCCGAAACGCAGAAAGTCATGGATAAATCCCGGCGAATCATCAAAATCGCTTCGGAAAGAAGGTTCTTCTCTGCATTTGGTGGGATATCAAGGGCGTGCTTTATTATGAGTTGTTGGAACCGGGTGAAACAGTTACTGCGGACTGCTACCAACGTCAATTAATCTGCTTGAGTCAAGAATTGGAACGAAAACGCCCGTATACTGGCGAAGGAGCACGTCCAGTGAAATTGTTGCATGACAACGCCAGGCCACACATTGTTTCCAATACAAAAAACACCATAATGAGTCTTGGCTGGGACGTCTTGCAGCACCCGGCGTATTCACCAGACATTGTTCCATCCGATTATCATTTGTTCCGGTCGATGCGACGCCGTGTCCGATATGCACTTCCAATCAGTGGATGAGATCCGAAAATGGCTTGACGACTTTATCGTGTCCAAAGACGTAACATTTTTCCGAGATGGAATTCATCAGCTGCCTGAAAGATGGCTTAAAGTTGTAGAAAGCAACGGCGAATACTTTGATTGAACAATTTAATTTACTGTCTTTTAAAATAAACCTTGAATGTAGCTGAAAAAATTGGATTATTCATTTGTACACCTTATACAATGAATCTTGATCATCATAAGTTGTAACGAGCACTTCATGAACTTCAGTTGCCGATTTTTTTAAATCAAACAAACGAAGTAATGAATGTTGTAAATGCAATTTTGTACGATCCATTTTAGACGTGTATAAACAATGAAACTATCAGTAACAATAGCGCGCAAACTGTCATGTCATAGAGAAATGTCAAATCTTTCAATGATGCCAGATTTCAACATTCGTATTGATCCATTAATTTAAAGTCACTATTAGATAATATAAAGTACCGTAATCCATAACACCAATGCTTTAACGAGTTGGCCTCAAAATGCCCTCGGAAAGTGTACAGGATATAATAGCAACATATAGGTCAGTATGACGGGTTGCTTGTCCCTATTCGGATGATAATGCAGAAGTTTCAGAAAAAGTCACTCGTTGATTTTGTTGATAATGATATTTGCAGTGTTCCCAGTTATGACAAATGCAACTAACTTTGTACCATGTTCGTTATAACAGTTTATCGACCGTTTACCGACAGGAGTCGAGTCTCATTGAGTTAAAAAAGATCTTCAAAAATTAAACTGAGAAATAAATATTACGGAACAAAGCATAATAAATAAGAGTAATATTTAAAGAGATAAATAATACAACACATTTCCTGGTTTTGCATAATTTCTTAATTGTTTTCTCATGTTAAAAGGTTCGATAGAAATTGGGGATTAGAAAGAACAATGCAGAAATATTTAAAAGTTTTATATACTGTATTTCATCCATGTTTCTACAAAAAACCGCTTCTGCAAAAGTACGAATAGACTACGAACGCAGTAAATACACTGCTCAAAACAATTATGGCATAAGTAATTTATTACCGAAAATTAGCCAACTTTGACTGGCGATTACTTCGCAAAAAATTATTGTAGACTGATGATTTTTTTTTTTCAAAATGAAGCTTGAAGTCTCTACTTTAAGAATGTATCTCCATTTTTTGCATGCGATGCACCCCTACCCCTGTAACGCCTGATATTTGAGGGCATGTTTGATATATTGAAAATTGCAAAGTTTCACGGAATGCACGGACGTGACAATTTTTTTTCGGGGACGTCGTTTACATCATCATAACACATCACTCAATAAGTTCGTAGGATGACATATAAATGGCGCTACTATTGACAAATCCATATGATTTTTAGGATGTACTAACCTTCAAATGATACGTGTCAAAATTTCATGACAATCGGACGTTTGGTTCAAAAGTTACAGTGGTTTTAGTGACGCACGACGTCGACTCGTTTTAGCAACGCGTCGACGATTCAGCGGGCTGTTTGGAGCTGTTTCAGCGCAATAAAAAGAATTTTTTGATACGGTATGTGACAATAGATGAAACATGGATCCATCATTACACTCCAGAGTCGAATCGGCAGGGAAAGCTCCAGGGGAAGAGATTTGGCTCCAATGAAGAAGTGATTGCCGAAACTGAAGCCTTGCTAAAACGAGTCGACGTCGTGCGTCACTAAAACCACTGTAACTTGTGAACTAAACGTCCGATTGTCATGAAATTTTGACACGTATCATTTGAAGGTTAGTACATCCTAAAAATCATATGGATTTGTCAATAGTAGCGTCATTTATATGTCATCCTACGAACTTATTGAGTGGTGTGTTAAAGTTTGTATTCAAATCTTCCCCTTCAA